AAAAAAAAAAAAAAAAAAAAAAAAAAAAAAAAAAAAAAAGTTAAAAATAAATAAATAATAATTGATAACAATAACACTTGTGAAGCCTTCATTAAAAAGTAGACCCTCTTTAGCTTTAGAATGGAGAAAACATGTTGCTTTTTAAGGCATCATTATGTCCACCTGTTGGCTCGTTTGTAATAAAAATAATAGTTTGTGCAACTTCTCGCTATGTGGGAATCTACGTGAGGAGGTTCCTCTTGCTGGTCTTCACCTTTGTGTTGGGGTTCCTGAGGCCTCTGCCCTTGCTCAGACCTCTTTTGAAACCCCATCAGAGGTCAAAACTGAAGAACTTGCTAGAGCCACATGCTGATAACTAACATGAGTGAAGTGGGCAGGCCAAGTGGGCTGGAGAGTGCACACTCCACCTACAGGAGGCAGCGTTGGCTCAGTGTCAGCCTACCGCTTCAGGGGCCTCGATATTCTGAAATGGTCAGTATTTTTCAATGTGAATGTGAACTCACCGAGTTTGTAAATGCTCCTCCTGTGCCTTGACTTCCTAACCCAAGTCGTAGTCACTTCATGGCTTTGCATTTTACCTAAAAAGAAAATTACCCCCCTGCTTAAATCCCGTGGCTGGCTCCCCATTGACTAGGAGTGGAGTGCAAGTTGTAAGTTTGGTGTTGGCCCCTACTGGCCTGTTCTCCAGCAGGAACCGATACCGGCTCCCTGCCATGCCACACTATGCCCGCTGTGTGCAGCCACCTGCTAGACACAGTGTACATACTGTGGATACAGGCACGGCCCCTCCCCTCAAGTTGCTACCCGTCTTTTTGACAGACTAACTGGTAAATAGGCCTCGGCACACAGAGATCTCATCACTTTCTGTTGGGCCCTGTCCTGGCCCACTGCTTAATAATTACGATGTGTTTATGGGCTCCTTGAGGAAAGAAACTGGTATTTGGAGCACAGTGGTTGCTCAACATTTGTTGAATGAATAAACGAATATAATAAAGGTTAATTTTAGATCACCTCTCTGAAATTGAATTTTTTAGGCTTCATATGACTATGACTTTAAAATAAAACCCTGTTATTTACACATTCAACTAACCAGAATTCACCACAGGTTTTTTGTTGTTCTGCTTTTTACATTCATATTTAAGAAGAAAAAAAAGTTAAGACAAAATGGAAGACCAACTACCACAAGTTCTTTTTTTTGAGATGGAGTCTCACTCTGTTGCCCAGGCTGGAGTGCAATGGTGCGATCTTGGCTCACTGCAACCTCCACCTCCCAGGTTCAATCAATTCTTGCCTCAGTCTCCCCCCAGGTAGCTGGAATTACAGGCATGCGCCACCAAACCCGGCTAATTTTTTTTGTATTTTTAGTAGAGATGGGGTTTTTCCCTGTTGCCCAGGCTGGTCTCGAACTCCTGACCTCAGGCGATCCACCCACCTCAGCCTCCCAAAGTTCTCAGCTTACAGGTGTGAGCCACCACGCCCAGCTACCACAAGTTCTTCTACACCTGCTGCCCCACCACATCCACTGTTACACACTGGGGTTGTCACATCCTGGATTGTGTTAGCATTCTACAATTTCCAAATTCTAGAAGGAGGATTGACATTCGTGATGATCCTAAAATGCAAGCTGTTTAAACAAGGAATCATTTAAAAACTCTCATGAAAATAAAAACATGGAAAATATTCAAAAAAGATTAAAAGGTTTTCTAATCTATTTTGTTGCTCAAAGAAAAATCCAATGAACCAGAATTTCCTAATTTTGAATGGTGAAGTTTGACTGGCCTGTATCATGCTAAGATCTGCACATGCTTATTACTGTAATCTCTTGTTCTTCAAACCAATAAATTCTCCCTTTAAGGACAGGTTGGATTTAGTTATTTCTTGTTATACTGACATTTTTTCCCAAAAGAAAGAATTTCCCCGTAACATACTTAATCACACAATGTTCACAGGAAGATCTTGGCAGATTTTTTTCAGCAGGAACAGTTGTTGCTGGTGTTTGTGTTTTTTTCATTTGATAAGACGAACATTAGTATGATCCTTCAGCTCTGTGTCTCCCACCCGGAGTAGCTGTAAATGAAATACAGCATACAGAGGCTTGTTCATAATTTCTTGATCTTCCATTGACTTTAGTGTTTCTATGAAAGAAAAAAAAGATGTTTTAAAGCTCGAGGGACTTACCTATAAAGTAGAAGGGAAAAGGTAGCAACACGTGTTGAGGAAACCCAGGCGGCCCCCGGAGCATTATTTTTGCTATAGCTTTCCAGAAACAGAAAGTGGTGCTTAAAGGTGTAATTCCCAATATTTTCCCCCAGACTGAAATTCGGATGAACTCTGAACTGACATCCTTTGCATCTCATTTTCTCATTAGGTTTTATTACAGCCAACACAACTTTCAGTGGTGAACTACTTCCCTTCTCAGCGGAACACCAGACTCCCATAGTGTCTGCACAAACTAAAGTAATGAAATGGTTTTTAACCAAGCTTTAGGGATTAGTGAGGGGAAAAAAAAAAGTTTAAAAGAAAGGGCACCAGGGTCTTCCCATCTCTATGCTAACCAAAGTGTGGTTTTCCAGCTCTTTTTCTTGCCTATGAAAAAAAATAAAAACAAAAAACGGAAATGCTGCTGGGCTTGAAACCCCACTTAAAATCGGATTTCTCTTTCAAGTTCCCTTCCAATACAAGTCAAAGTCATTTCCACCAAAAAAATAAAAAAACCAAAACAAAACAAAACAAAACAAAAAAATATCTCTGGTAATCATAAAGAAATGTCTCCTTTTACCTTCAGCTGTATGTCCTTTTGAACAGCAACTGGTTGGAAAGCAATGGCGAATCATGTCAATGCTGGAGTGCATTGCTCAGATAGGACTTGGTATAGTAAATAAATGCTTTTAAAAGTAGTCATGGCATTGAGAAATGGCTCCATGCACCTAGACCAGAGGCACCAATATAAAAACTGGCAATTGTGTTTTAACACAGAAGATTGAAAAGCATTTTGTTTCACATCCTAATATTGTGCCATCTACTTAAAAAGAGTTACTTAATATTGATTCTGCATCAGGCATGAGCCAGGTTCTGCCCTCAAAGAACTTATAATTTAGTTGAGAAGCCAAAATTGCACTTGAGTTTTAAAAGAAGAATGTAGTACAGAACATGGTATAATTAAATGTTAAACAATGCAGTCTACATGCTCAGTGACCTAGGAGATAAGAGGAAGGGAAGGTCGCTGAGGGCTGGAAATGTCAAAAGCATGTATTTTCAATAAGTTCTTGAAATGATAGCATGTTAGAAAGCTGTGATAATTGCTGCTAATTTGTAATTGTAAAGCGTTGCTGTAATTCGACATTGCTTTCCAACCAGTAGTTGTTCAAAAGGACATGCAGTTCAAGGTAAAAGAAGATATTTCTTTATGATCTCCAGAGATTTGTACTGAGGAGAAAAAAGACAAGATTTTGTGTTGAATAACAGACCAAGAATTGAGCATATTTTGCATGTGGAATATTGAATTGAGTGAATAAGAATTCAAACCTCAGGCTGTGATTTTGCTATGAATTTTTGTTTCTAACGAACCATTTTCTTCCTGCTAAAAAAGCTCAAAAAATAATTTTTAATTTTCTAATATCTATTTTTACAATTTATTTTTCTTTTAAGAAAAGTGGACTAGAGGTGCAAGTCACTTTCTCAAGGGAATTATTAGCTTTAAAAATGGTGTATGTGGCAGGGAGGACATTTAGCATCCTTTAAAATTGAGACATCTGAACAGCAATTTACCTTTTGAAATCACCAAATCTCAAGTGTGCTTTGCATTCTTGGTCTTAAAATGCTTTTCGTTTTCTAATTTGACAAAAATCCTAGTCTCTTTACATTTGCTACCTTTTCTGTCTACAACACAGGCAGCGTGAGCTAAATTAGATTTGTTATAATGAAGTTTAAACTGCTAAAATAGAGGCATGTCTCTAACTTTAGACAAGTTTAGGGAATCGTAGTAAGCATTACTTTTTTCTCCATACTTGTCTGCATTCATGGTCTTCCCAAGAAATGTCAGTTAATTTCCCGATTCTAAAAAGAGGGACTTTTCCCTAACAGTTGTACAACCAGGCAAAAGAGCACACCCTCGTCTTCCCTGAAGGGGAGGAAACCTGCAATAATGTGAGGTAATTACATTTAGCCTTAGAAAAGTCTTTGAAACGTTCTAATCAAGACTTTCAGCTTTCCGAGTGCGTGCACTTTATTTTTACATTCGTCCTGGTCCCGGTTTTGCATTTCTAATGAAAGTGAACTGACAAAGCGTGAAAGTGGTCTAAGGAGCAAAACAAAGCCAGCAAGCCTGCTTTTGGTGTGCCAGGATGAATCAATATTCCGGAGACCTCGGGGTTTCCCCCTCCTACCCTGTGCGGTTTCCATTCCCCACTCCTCCTTTCCCGGACACAGACTCCTCCCCTTTTCTTAAGTTGCCCTGAGAGTAACTTGCAGTTTCAGAGCACATGCACATTGTCAGGGCCAGCCTGCCTGCTCACGCGCGCTGCCGATTGCTGCTCCGCCGGACCTGCTGGGGAATTCACCTCGTTACTGCTTTGTATCTTCACCCCTTACAAAATCAGAAAAGGTAAGTGTCACATCCTGTGCTCCTGCTGGGTTTAATTTCTCCTTTCACTTCTCTGCCGATGTATTTTGCCTCCCAAGCAGAGGAGCAGTTTGAGTCAAGGCTAGCCATTTTGGTAGATAAAGTCCATGTTAGTCATCTCACGTCGTGAGAGTGTGGTGTCTATTTATGCTGGGCCCTCTGTTAATTTGGAGTTGAGTCATTCGGTGGGGATTGGGGGCAGATTGTGGCGCGAGATCTAGAAAAGGATCAAGGTTGAGCGAGTCTGCTTGAAAGTGACTGGTAAGAGGAATCAGAGCTATTAGTAAAAAAAAAAAAATCTGGTCTCTTCCATCTCCTCCCCCTCTTCGCTTCTCCCTAAGCATTTAATCCCGTGTGAAGTCTTAAACAAATTCTAAGTCTTAGTATCACTGACCCCAACGTGCAATATTATTTAAAAGGCAAAATGTTAAGTCTTTTTTTTCCTGCACTTGGATTTGCTAAAAGCTTGCGAGGAGTCATTTGTGAGGAGTCTGTTGGTTTCCAGTTACCTCCTCCACTGGCGCACACGCTGGCTGCTTGCGTTGGCAGCGACACACATCCATGGTACGGCTGGTTTTTACTCGGATTGATTATGGGAAGGGCTATGGATTAGAACTCCCGTAAAGCACCAGGAGGAATCCTTTAATTTTTCAGACCAGCTGATTTCCACGAGGAAAGAGATTTACTGAAACGTAGTTAAATAGCCTGAGCGCTTTAAAGAAACCAGAAACCACACACTGTAATGTTTGGAATGAAAATTGGTTTCATCTCCTCATCTGTTCTAGAAATCCTAAATTTTAAAATGCTAAAAAGTCAGCAATCGTTTCCTCTGAAGACCCTAGTATGTGTGTCATAAAGGCAGACCCTACTTTTTATTTCTAATTGTGATAAAAATGAAGCTGAATTCTGATTTCAGATGATTTATAGATGTGCCCAGAGCACTTTGCTTATTTCATGGAAAAAAAAATGAAAAAGTTACCCTGTAAAATAGTCACATGTATTTCCCATGTATTGTGGGCACTTGTGTTCTTTTTACGACCATATTTACTAGTAGACGTTATCGTATTTTTTCTTAATGAAGAAAATAGCTGGTTACTTTACTACATATAACAGAGACAACTCCCACCTATCAGTATCTTAATTATTTTTATTTTATGTTTTCAACCATGTATACAGCATAATTTGTCAAGTAATGGTTGAGAACTTACATTCAGTTTGATTGGACATTTACTCAGTATGCACATTTTGCAAGGCATCAGATGGGTTCTGAGGGGGAGGGTGGGTATAGGGGTTCTCAGTCAGTTCCAGCTCTGAAGAACCCTTTTATAGCCTCATTGGAGGGGGAAAGATGGATTTTTAAAAAGAAAATAGAACGTAAGTTCTGCATATATATTCTGAATATATGCATATTTCTCACACGTGGTCCACTAAAATATGCACACCACAGCCTTGAAGCCTGGTATTGTGGCTCTCCAGTCCTTGATTCCTGCTGAGATTATGCAGTTTGCCAAGAGCTTGCCTGGTGTAGAGCAGCACTGATTTCTCACCCCGGACGCTGTAACTCATGTCTCTTTTTCTCCTATTCTAGTTGTGTTTTCTAACACCAAAGAGGAGTTTTGGCTTTCTGTGGGTGATTCCCAGACACTGAAGTGCAAAGAAGAGACACTCCTAGAAAAGTAAAATATGACTAAAACCAATGGAGAAGAGCCCAAGACGGCGGGCAGGATGGAGAGATTCCAGCAGGGAGTCCGTAAACGCACACTTTTGGCAAAGAAGAAAGTACAGAACATTACAAAGGAGGATGTTAAAAGTTACCTGTTTCGGAATGCTTTTGTGCTGCTCACTGTCACCGCTGTCATTGTGGGTGAGTCATTTGATTAAAAACAAACCTGTATCTTGTTTCTCTGGGGCATCTGGCTGCCCCAGGAACATTATCAGATGAACTAGTTGTAGGTATCAAAATGATAGCACAGGCTTTCCTCTGAACTTGATGATTTTTCTCCATAAAAATGACTGTTTTGGCATGTTTGGAGCAATATATGGTAAACCCATCATTAGGCAACATTAGGCATTGTGCAAATCAATTGTATAAGGAAGGAAAATATTTTCCCATTTCATGTAAGGATAAAGAAGTGATAATTTAATCATTAGGCATGACAAATCAAGCATGCTACGTTTGACCAAAATGTAATTATATACAGTGTCAGTTGCACTTGAAACTAATTTATACAACTAGTACACCTAAAATGAGACGTTGGTTCCAAACAGTAATTATAGTCTAACTGGTGCTGACTTGAAGCTGAATGTCAATGCTTAGACACAGAGGCCAAATCTTTTATGTGTTTGCACTCTCTCACCCAGCAACTGGGAAAGATGGATTGGGGAAAATGTTAACACAGATCTCTTTCATTCATTGCTTTGCAGAGCCTGCCATAATCAGCTATACCTTTCTTGAAACATTTTCATCTATTACTAATTTAGCAGGGTTGACAGTAATCTTTACTAATAAAATACTTTTCTTTTGTTTTGTTTATTGATCTTAAAAGTTATAGTTTATTACTTATGGGTGGTATTGATCCTACTTTAAAGTATAGCTGAAAAAAAAACTACTTATTTGGAATTTTTAACCAAACCGGTATAGAAATCCTTAGGTTGACAAACACATGAGCCAATGCCAGGTTGTAAAAATACTCTAACTTAACCTACCAATTTGCCACCATAAAAGAGGCATTCAGTACGGTTTTAATATCTACTCTGGAGTTTGCCAAGATTTCTATCAACTTCAAAGAGATAATGATTTAATAAAGATTAAGAAAATTCTGTAGTATATAAATATAATAACTTTTTTCAAGAAAATAGAATTCTTAAATTGTAGACAAATGAAATATGACGGGAGAATTTGTCAGAAGACTTTAGCTACATCCCCCTTTAACATCATTGTCGCCCATTAGTAGTCACAGGTGATTAATGATGATTCCATTAATTTTAGAGGCACTCAAAGAGAACATGCCCTAATTGACACAGAGAAGAAATGGCTTTCCATAGTAGGTTTCCAGGCTTGAATATATTCCTAGATGAAGTATTTCAGTCCCACATCATGGTCCTGGAAGTCAATGCCTCATTTTTCGCCCTGAATCAAAGTCATTGCCAAGCCAAGCAATAGCTGCATAGTAATAATATCAAACATTTATGTAGTACTATTCCAGCTACCCTGTAGGAGTTTTGTTTATATTAGCTCACTTAATCTTCAAATAAGCCTATGAAGTGAGTGGGAAGGTAGAATCTCCCTCATTTTGTAAATGAAACTGACTGTGGAGAGATCCAGCAGTTTGCCCAAAGTCACAACACTAGTAAACGCTGGAGCTGAAAGCCAAATTCAGTCTAGTGCCAGAGGCCATTCTCTTAACCACTCCATTCTTCCTCTGCTCTGCTGCTAGTTGACATCTTGTAAGAGATGCCAGAAAGAGAAATACCCTCATGAGTTGATGAAGGCCAGTTAGCTAGCAGTGCTAGATGCATTCACATAGCATTGCCATTTTACTGTATGATTTATCCAGTTGAAGTAAACAGAAAACTTACGATTCCCCTATAGACCATTAAGCCACATCCTTCTCATTCATTTAACAAATACTCATTTATAATTCATGATCCTATACGTATAATAAATAGTGCTCAGTAATACCGGAGTACATTTGAAAAAGATGGAGAAACACCATTCAAAATGGTGTTGTAAACACCAGAATAGTTGAATTTCTAAGACAATAAATAGAGGAATGGAAAGTAATGAAACTTGAACATGGAAGACAGATTGATGGAGAAGGAAGTTTGTAAGTGATTAGTTCGAAGAAACAACATCTCTAATAAAACGAAGATAAGGCCAGGATTTAAAAGTCTGTTTTTCACTAAGAGTTTGGGATCATTCCTCACCCAATAAGGGCTTTTTTAAGATTTGTGAGAATTGCAATAAGAGTTGGCTGAGCCAGGGTAGATAAGTTGGCCGGGGGCCCTCATGGTTGGCTTTACTAACGGAAACTGAGGAGGCAGAAGCAGCAAGAAGGCGGCACTAACAAAGAAACACATAAAAAGAGCTCATTGACAGTCAAAGAGACCACTGAGCCTACACCAAAGACTTGGAATAGCAAATAGACAACTTAGGAGCAAACTGATTTAGGAGAGAAGGAAGAACCCTTCAGTTATCTGTTAGTGTGTCTTCCATTGGAGGGCCCAGTGGATACAAAGGCCCCATTTGGCTTGTCACTGGGTTCCATGTCTACCAGTCCTAAGAGACAGGAAAAGAATGTGTCTGTAGACCAACTCTTAATTTATTTGCTGTAGCATGAGAAAAAGCAAGAAAGATGCTAGCAAGGAAGAAGGAGATAATTATTTTCCCCAAAGATGAGATGAGAAGAGTTACATCTGTTACCTAGTTTTCAAATTCCCAGATTTTTATTGCTTTTAGTGAAAAGAAAAAAAAATCACTGGGAAACCTATGTACTGGGTTGAATCTTTTGTTCAGTCTGTTTTGTTTTGCCTTTTTGAAATAAAATATATATGATTTAATGTGTGGAAGCAGAAACTAGAAAAATATTATAATAAAGACATGTGAATCCATATATTCAAAATAAAGCAGAAAATTATAAATATTTTGATTATCAATTCATCTACAAGCATAAGCATAGAACCATTTGTACCATTTTATGTCATTTCTACTGCCATTTCTAAGCAACGTCAAAGTCTGAATGTGCCAAGCCATGACAAAAGCCCGTGTAACAGGAGTGGGTTAGCGATCTGAGAGAACACAGTGCCAAGCTCCACATCCCTTAGAGGGTCCATCATGAAAGCATTCGATAATGGGCTGCCAGGGCTGTTGTGGATATCTGTCTGACAAAAACCACGTTGAGAAGAGAGGTTATTGTCTTTCTTCCTGCAGAAAGCGGTTTCTCCTTTCAGACTGTGGTAAGTTGTGTTAGAGTGACCTCAGACATCTCGCTGAAAGAAAGGAAAAGTCCTTTGTCATGTTCAACTCACAGAACGCTGACTCTTTCCATGGCTAGGGAATGAATTGCACAATAAAAATGAAATCTCAGGCCAAACAATGAAATGGGTCATAAGATCAGCTGCGAGGTAGGGGGATATTTATAAATAGGAATGCATAGAATTGAGCTGTGGTTTGACCTGAAGGCATTCACAAACACAGTAACTGGCACCTTCCTCTGATGTTGGTCTTCACACACACACACACACACACACACACACACACACACACTTTACATTTGAGTTCTCCTTTATGTGGATTTGGAAGAAATTGGTGACTTCTCAGGAAAGAAAACATCCTGACTAAATTTTTATAAAACATTTCTCCCTGTTCCCTAATACTCTGGCAATGAATTTAAATTGCACTAAAGTTTGGTGCAATTCTGTAATATCTCTAAATGGATATAGGAGAAACTAGTCAGCATGTCTGCCTCTTGGGATAGGAACTAGCTGTCTAGGGAATGGGGTGGAAAGAATACGACTTTTCTTTGAGAAAGTTTTTGTATTTTTTTTACCTCATTCATATATTATCTACTGTTAGCTATTATCTACTAAGTAAATAAGTTAAATTATTTATTTTTAAAAATTCAATGATATGCAATTTAACAAATATGGAATGTTATATAGCTTGCTCTGCGCTGTGCAATGGTATCCCCTGTTCTAAGGTAATTTCATAGGAGACATGGATGAAAAATAAGATGACAATGGAACATACAAGGATCAGAGGCGGTAATAGAGAAGTTTCTAATCAGCTGTAAACATTTTTCATGAGTTCATGTTATGCGTATTTTTCTATATAATATGGCATCTTTCTGTGGTGGTACTTTAGAGGTTCCATTTTATTTTAATAGACACATTAGGAGCCCTAGATGTGCCATCTGAAAAAAGGAGAAGTGTGGCTTTTGATGAAGGTAGATCTGGATCATGTACCAGCTGTATTATTTAATAGCTTTGTGATCCAAAAGGAGGCATCGCTGAGCCTCAGTTTCTTGTAGCTATAATATATACCTGTATTTGCTGTAGTTATTATATATTGCTAATAAGAGTAGAGGCTGGGCACGGTGGCTCATGTGTGTAATCACAGCACTTTGGGAGGCCAAAGTGGGAGGCTCTCTTGAGCCCAGTAGTTTGAGACCAACTGGGCAACATAGTGAGACCCCCCCATCTTTTAAAAAAATGGCCGGCATGGCAGCTCATGCCTGTAATCTCAGCACTTGGGAGACCGAGGTGGACAGATCATGAGGTCAGCAGATCCAGACCATCCTGGCTAACATGGTGAAACCCTGTCTCTACTAAAAATACAAAAAATTAGCTGGGCATGGTGGTGGGTGCCTGTAGTCCCAGCTATTCAGGAGGCTGAGGCAGGAGAATTGCTTGAATCTGGGAGGCCGAAGTTGCAGTGAGCCAAGATCACACTATTGCACTCCAGCCTGGGCGACAGAGTGAGACTCTATCTCCAAAAAAAACCAAAAAAAAAACAAAAGAAAGAAAGAATCTTGTTGACGTTCACCATATTGGGCTGGGAACAATGGCTCACACCTATAATCCCATCACTTTGGGAGGCCAAGGAAGGAGGATCACTTGAGCCAGGAGTTCAAGATCAATCTGGGCAACATAGTAAGAGCTCATCTCTACAAAAACATTTTTTTAAAAAAATTATCCAGGTACAGTGGTACATGTCTGTAGTCCCAGCTACTCAGGAGGCCAAAGTGGGAGGAGGCTCGGTTAAGCCCAGGAGGTTGAGGCTGCAGTGAGCCATGTTCATGCCATCGCACCCAGCCTGGATGACAGAGCGAGACCCTGTCTCCAAAAAAGAAAATAATAACAATA